CACTGGAATAGTAAATTACTACCCGATTTGACTGGACAAGACAAAGTAGATAGTTTACCAGTAATTATAACCAGACCTGATTTAGAGCAGCTACTCGGTGTCCCTCAAATACCATCTGGAACAGGGCTAAAAATATCATCTGCAGTATATGATAACCTTGCAAAGTGATCTTTATTGGACAAAGTTCAAGCATTTGTATTCGATACAACAGCATCGAATACTGGGCGTAAAGATATTTATTGTTTGAAATTTTTTTTACTTCAACAAGAATTTAAATTGTCTAAGTCGAAAGAGACTGCAATATGTAGAATATGTGCATTTATTATAAAAATTTATTTTAGGCCGTGGTCTATGACTGACCAAGTATGTAAAGCTCCATTAAATGACATGCATTTAATAAGAACTTTATATGAATATAAAATGATGATAAAATTATTGCGAATTCATGTTTAAAAAAGTTTTTAAATCATTTGTGGTATTTTAATAAAGAGTGTATTGTTTTTTTCTATATTTAATAATTTAGTTTCGTTAGAAACCCGAAATAAAATGTCAAAAAATATTTTAAATAATTTACCAAACTGCCTATCGGCCCAAAATGATTTTGGTCCAAAAAAATATTTTTTTAAAAATGAAAAATGTAGGGATATTTTTGAAACAAGAGTTTTTTACAGATATGTTAGAACAAGGTTCGGGATATTTTTTTATAGATTTAATATCAATTCAAAATTTTTAAAATTAAACTCTTTGAATTGGGAAGGTATCAAGTATTACCAAGAAGCCAAACAAATAGTCAAATCAATCCGTATTGTAAATGACACTGCTGAGAGGGGTGAGAAATTGATGGAAGAGTTAAATGACAAACTAACGAAAAATCATAGATTGACGCAGTACGCATAAGTAAAAATAAAGCCGCTTTCGTCAAAGGATATACACAGAATTGGTCTAATGAAATATTTTTCATAGATAAAATAAAACAAACAGTGCCCGTTGTGTATGTGCTGAAAGATGAAGACGGTACGCAAATTAACGGAACGTTCTACCGGGAGGAGTTGAAAAAAACAAATTTTCCAAATACGATTCTGATAGAAAAAATTTTGCGTCGTAAAAATGATAACTATTTGGTTAAATGGAATGGTTTAAAAAAAAGCAGTTGGATACACAAAAAAGATTTAGTATAGTTTTAACAGTCATAAAAAATGGACGGGTCACTAGTAGTCGATTTACAATGTATCGTAAACTACAGATGTCAATTAATCGTAAAAGAACTGACGGCGTACGCGTTTGACCGTTTAGATCATTATGTATTTAAACCGCCTATAAATTTCTATATGACAACCAAATCGTCGAGGGTGAATAGGTGGTTATGCTGTAATAAACATAAATTAAATCATACGGACGGTGATGTCGACTACGACAACCTGCAGACGATTCTGAATGAACTCAGTGAGCGGTATACACATTTTTACGTTAAAGGTTTGCAAAAAAAGAAGTTTATCGAAAAATTTAAGAACAAACCAGTAATCAATATGGAAGATTATGATTGTCCGAGAATCGATATACTTTTACGTGATAGTTGTAATTTATCAAAGGATACGTGTTTATTTCATAAAGACAATCATGATTGTTGTACGAATAATCGTGTTAAAGTATTATATTTATGGTTAATCGATAACTGTATAATGTAAAGTAATTGTTTATAAGNCAATAACTGTATAATGTAAAATAATTGTTTATAAGTTTTATCATCATTCGTATGCATTCTCCTAGTTATGTTAAATTGATCGGGGGATAAAGTTTCGGCTAATTTTGAAAGAGAAGATGATAAAAAGTTTAACGAATAAATAAATTTCAATGTCAGTCGCTTATTGTTAGATGTTTTTATTACTTTTTTAATTGACATATATTAACTTCGATGCGAAGCTGAGAAGGTATTGGTTTTACTAAGATGTGTTTTTTTTTTTTTTTTTGTCTATTACCACTTTTTCTCAGCTCTCACCAAACCGATTTCTTTAAATGATACGTCAAAAGATCACAAATCGTATCTAGTCGAAGACATTACCCTCAAAAATTGAAAAGATTTCCCTCGTTCCCCGTTAATGAGGGAAACCTCCAAATAATTACAAATTTAAAAATTACTACTTTCCAAATTTTTTCAATTTTTTTTACTAAAAACTGCCGTAACTTTTTTAAAAATAAACATATCAATATAATTCTTTCTTTTATAGATGCATGATGTCATTACCTATCATTTGGTATATTTTTTTTATAAATCTGACTTTTTACCTGCCCACAGGGGAGGATTTAAAATGACAACTTTTTTACAAAAAATTAATTTTTTCAACTTAACTTTTGAAAGTTTTCTGGAAGGTCTGACACTTTTATATATATCTTAAATTAAAGCTAATGTAATATACTTTATTATGGAAAAAAAAAAATTTCGGGCTTTATTTTATCTTCGCGGTGAAAATGGCTACCGAATGCTATTTTTGTGTCAAAATTTTCGATTTTGTATTTTCCATTTTTAACTTTATAATGATATAACTTATTAAAAAGTGTATGGATCAACACAATTTTATTATGAGAAATAATATTTTTTAATAATCCCTTTTTCATTCGACATACTTTATCTTAATCAGCATATTAATAAGGAACTAGCAGATCATTTAACTTTTGGATTAATCCACCAATTTTTTTTTAAATTAAACACTATCTAAAGATTTGTATCGAAGCGTTTTTTTTTATAGTAATTTTAATCACTGTCAGATATTATAATACTTGATCCAACTATGCCACGTCACCACTGTGCCGCGACTCCCCTGTGCTGGGTTTTTTATTGTTTATTAATTAAAAAAAAGAGCTGGAATTTTCGTGTATTGATTTAATTTTATAAATTTTCAATTTGTTGACACGGTTTATTTCATTATTTACTGATACTAATAACTATCTTTATCTTTTTTCTTTCCGTATCTCTAATAGTGTAATAAACAAAAAAAGAAAGAGGCAAAGAGAATGAGGGAGGTAAAGATGGTAAGAATGAAGTCGTATCTCGGGGTCGAACTATATTTATTTATTAAATAATAAAAATCCCTACCTCATTTATTCCTATTCTTGTTTGTTACGTGATTTTTTTGGAAGTAAGGCATACAAATAAATATTCGCACTTACCTTTATTTCCTTTAGTAATTGACTGAGTTGGTTTTATGGTGTTTTCTTCCTTCAGTGTCAACAGTCGTTTATACTTTATAATGATATAACTTATTAAAAAGTGTATGGATCAACACAATTTTATTATGAGAAATAATATTTTTTAATAATCCCTTTTTCATTCGACATACTTTATCTTAATCAGCATATTAATAAGGAACTAGCAGTTTATGAAGCTTTTGGAATAACCCACCAATTTTTTAAAATTAAACACTATCTAAAGATTTGCATCGAAGCGTTTTTTTTTTATAGTGATTTAATCACTGTCAGATATCATTATACTTGATCCAACTATGCCACGTCACCACTGTGCCACGACCCCCCTGTGCTGAGTTTTTTTCATTTGATTTAGCCAGCACTTCAATCCCCTCATCGATATCGCCAAAACCTAGATTCAATGTAATAAAATGCGAGTCATAGTTCTGCATATTATGTATAATTACGGGGACAAATGAGGAAACCGAACATTTTAAGTTACAATCTCTATGCGCTGCGCCATGATATCTCCCCGTTAAGTGACAATGATCGAAAACCTTTTCATGATGCCGTAATTCAGCGTTGCAAATGTGACACTCAGTTGTTATGTAATGATCATGTTGTTCTTTTAAAGATAATGGTAACATAGGCAAGGGGTTCGAGTAAATATCACTTATACGGTTTATATCGTTTCTAAGTCTATTGATAAACACCTTAGCACAATTTTCTCCACGGTATAACTCCATGCAATCCAAATTTTCATCGTATGAACATTTAATGAAATATGAAAAACTATGAGGTTCGTGAATATTGATTTTATTTGAAAAAGATTCTACAGGATTTGGATTGCATGTAGCTATATGTGTTAATATTGATTCGAAATCTGCGTATATAACAAATTTAACAGGATATTGGTTTTGATAATTTTGAAATTTGAGGATATTTTTTGGGGGATTTGGAAGAACCGTGTTAACGCGCATACAATTATCGAGCTGGTGAGACATTAATTTAGATTCTGAATAAAAAAACAATAAGTAACCATCACATATATATTTATGAGATTTGTGTTTTGAAAGCTGTGCGGATGCTAACCGCTCTAGGTTGTAAATACAACAGAAATGCCCGAAGAGTTTATCTTTTTTATCTAAAAATAATAAATTAACATGTTTGTTACGTTTACATTCGGTTAAATGCAAGCGACCCGCAATTTTCTCATTAACATAAGTGTATACATTTACACTTATGTTATTATTTTTTTCAAATTTTTTTATATCTGTGAGTGATATAGGTGAATTCAATCCTCTAGTGTTTAACACTGTGGTATAATGTGGATACGATTCGGGTTTTGACTTATCCACATCACGCGATTGAACCGGATATAAACTAGCAACTACGGGCCAAAAAAAGCAATATTCCCCCTCAGATTTAATATTTGTCAAAACATTCTTGCGCAATAATTTTTTTGGAATATTTAAATTACATCCTCCCCTCAAAGGATCATACTTAAACGTGTTAATATCCAAATAAACCATACCTCTAAAAACCCATCCGCTCCCCCACGTTTCAACCTCTTCGGACTTTTTTTGTAGTAGATTTTTAATAATAGTAATCCACTCAGGAATACTACTCGATGCTGTCAAAGCAAATCGAGAAATAGAAAGGGTTTTTGTTATAGTGGGTACCTCTACATTAACGTTAACATTATCAATTTTTTCATATACTGTTACTAAATCTAAAGAAGTTTTTACCGCTATATTTTTCTTAATTGATTTTTCCCACACATCTGTAATGTCAAATGCATGTCGCTCAATGNACTATATTTTTCTTGATTGATTTTTCCCACACATTTGTAATATCAAATGCATGTCGCTCAATGAACTCGCTGATAGTAAACGGATCTATATTTTCAATTCTGTATACATTTATATTGCCCGAAAAAGCTGATTCAATCAATTCTGAACTTGAAGTCTTCACACAATCACCTGTATTAATGTAAATGAAATTATCTTTAAAATACGCGTTTTTATGTTAAACACAAACATTATTATAATTGTAAATTAAATTATTTAATAATTTATAGTAATTAATTTTTTAATTCTATCGTAGCTCGATATTAAAAAGATTAACTCACTTTTTATGTTTGATTGTTTTAGTTTATTTAAATACTCGATCCCCAATCCAATCAATTCACTATTTACACCTAATAAAATAATGTTACTTTAAATAACAGTTACGTGTAAATATATCACTCGACCCCTTATAACAATTTTAAAAACATAGTGAGTTCATTTTATTTTTTTTGCATTATCCATTCAAGTTGATTATAATACTCACAGCTTGGATAAACAGTAATATTTTCGGTTTCCTTCGGATCGATCTTTTCAGCAACATCAAACACTGTTTAAATAAAAATTATAATTATAGAAATAAAGTTAAATTTATTTTTACATTTAAACTTACAGAGTTCATCATCACTATCCCGAGAAGTAGAGAAATCGTTAGCATTTAATTCATTTTCTTTCTTTGTATCGATATCAAATACTGTACAAATAGTAATAGTACCAATTATAATATAATAACATAAACATAATTGTGTAAAATTTTAAACTTTTTTAAACTAAAAAACTTTTTTCGACTATTGGTTGTTTTCGAAGTATATTTAACTCTAATTGTAAAACAATTTTTGCACTTAAGTTTTAACTATAACTTAACAGTTGACAAACAAAAGAAATATACTGAAATTACTCGAAAATCAGTGTATTTATTCTCACATCATGACAATACTATAAGTCATAGAAGAGGGAGGAAGCGCTGATCTCGAAAATTATCGAGAGAAATGGTAATTTAAGTAATGTTAAAATAAGGCGGTAAAATATGATATCAAAATATAAAATGAGGCGCTAAAATATGTTATCAAAATATAAAATGAGGCGCTAAGATACGTTTTATCAAATAGCTTCATTGATAAGCATTATATACAGTGTATATATACTGTATATTATACACTCTCCTCTAACTATAATGTGATAACAGGTAAATGAGGCGCCAACTAGAGGCGCTGAATGAGGCGCTGAATGAGGCGCTAAAATGAGTATATGGGGAGAGGCGGCACCATATACACACATCATACATAGATTATTTTTGTTGTACAGAAAGACTTAGCTTATTTACAGGTAGCAGTCAAAAGTTGAGGAGTGGATTTAAAAATCGTCGTATGATAGATCTTGTTTGCATGTACGACTTAATCGTATCACGTAAACAAGATGAATGTTAGCATTAGCATTGAAACTGGTTTTCATTTGACGATTTATATTAGCCAATATAGATTCAAAGTAAGATTATGATTATGAATATTAAACATAGGTTTAAACGAGCTTAACTCGACTCAGCATATGGCGAATTTAGTACCGAAATACTATCGCACACCAATTACCTATCTTAGTTTTAATTTGGATGGCGAGACTGTAGATGAATATTCAGAGTGGTATTTATAATTTGTAAATAATAAGTTTGTTTTGTTATAAGTTACTTATTTTTTTCTTTCATATTTTGTATATAATATTAATAATAATATACATTAAGGCTAACATAATTAGCCATTGCTTCTAGTGTTATGCATGTGACAGGATGAAGTACAAGAACAGGTATAGATCTTTAAACATAGTTTTTTCATACACATATTCTATTTTACATCATGAAATTTAACATTTTTTACATGTGATAATGAATACTGTACAAATATGTGCGGTGCAAATCCACCATACAAATACCGTGTTATTTAACCGACAAATGTATAGATGTTTTTATTTTAACCATATTTAATATTATTTTTTAATATCATTATTATAATTCTATTGCAGTGATTGATATGTCAAAGCAGACCGACACAATTACAGTCCCGTCTTTTGACCTACGTATTGAAATTGAAGCATCAACCACGATCGCCGCTAATACAACTGCACATGCTCTAGTAATTTTAGACAATGTATTTACATATACACCTTTTGACGGTACCATCCGTATATTTTAACATTTTTTACATGTTTATGTAAACATTTATTATAAACCTTGCAATTAATATTATTATTATAAAATAAATACAGTATATACAAATAACAACAATTTGTTTTTCATTTTAGATTATAAGTTTAATATAAGAAACTAGTACAGTATATAAAGTTATTGTTCATAAATTATTATGTAAGTTAATTTTCTGACGTGATTGGGTTTCGGCCATTGTGAAGCCCATGGACTATAACTATTTTCTTGGGTATACACTGTTGTATTGAAAAATGTTGGTCCATCATTTTCATCGCACATTTCTTCTTCTTTTTCCTAAAACATAATTATAAATTTAATAACAATAAAGGTTATGACAATCTATGTTCATTAAACTCATATTAATTTGAAGCATGTCTTTGGACCATGACTTGACCCAACGATCAACTATTACACTGTACGCTAAATTCTTCAGCTCGCTTATGTAATTACTGTCACCTTTAGGAATCGTATCGCATATTTCGTTATCGTTCAAACTTCTTATAAAATTAACCATTTCATCATTGTTTGAATGTTGAATTTTAGGGTCTTGCCATTTATCGTCAACGTAATGTATGATGTGGTCTATTTGATGGTTTAATAGTAAACGTGTTTTTATTGTTCTTGATATTGTACTGTTAATAGTACACTGTAAGTCCATAAGTCTATTAATGTTTTCGTTATTCAATAACACTCGACACCCATCGACCATCCTGGATTCTAATACTAAATGCATGGTATCACGGTACAATACTTTGGTTATATTAAAATCGACATTTTGGTATAACCTAATGTTCTCTCCTTTTACCGGAGGTGATTGTAGAAATAATGTTATTTCATTCATCATGCCGTAAATAATATTTAAATAGTCTGCTGTCATACTAATATATCGTGAAGGAGTAATAATGCATACCGTTACATTAAAGTCATCATTTGGATTCAGGCCCACTTGCAAAAATTTTCTGTCGCTGATCGCAATAATGTAAGTGCTAGAGTCAATCATCTTGGCTGGCGGTGTTGGTGCGATATAAATGTAGCGCTGTTTTCTTATAGGTTCGGCAGTCATATTGTTCATAGAGTAGAGTCTTCTTCTTAGAGCTGATGTTTCTTGATAACACTATGACTTAATCAACGATTTCACGCTCATTTATGCGGAAAAAGCACATTTTTTCATAGCCTCCTTCTTATGTACCCCCACATGTAGATTAACCCCCCATACTTGTGATATCTACTGTCTTGAGAGAGTCCCCTCTATTATACTCTTAACCTTTCATAGGAAGGGGGCCCTATGCCTTTCATCATATCCCCCGGCCGTTTACACCACCCGTCCACCTAAGACAGGGTAAATGTGGGTTAGGGGGGTATCCAACTCATATAATAATGATCTACTTGCATTTTCTCTGTTAGGGGACCTAATTTCGAAATTTTTTTTTTTTAATTTTTTAGTTATAAATCTGCTTAATACACCATAAAAATTTTAAGTTTCAGAAAGAAGTTTAAAATGTAAAATCAGTAAAAATGCGTTCAATATCAAATAATTTAATGATAGTTTTTTGTTGTTTTCAAACCATAATTTTGTAATTTTAGCTTCGATGCGAAGCTGAGAAAGTAATGGTTTTACTATGATGTGTTTTTTTTTTTTTTTTTTTTCTTTACTGTTGCCACTTTTTCTTAGCTCTCACTGACCGATTTTTTTCAAAAATACGTCAAAAGATCACAAATTGTATCTAGTTGGAGACATTACCCTTAAAAATTGAAAAAAATTCCTTCGTTCCTCGAAAATGGGGGAAATATCCAAAAAAATTACAAATTTAAAAATCGGTAAATTTTGTCATTTTTTTCACTTTTTTTTCTTAAAACTTCCATAACTTTTTGAAAAATAAACAAATCAACATAAATTTTTTTTATACTAAAACCTTAGATATTTTCCTTTCACTTGATATCATTTTTTTGAAAATCTATCACTTAACCTGCTCATTAGGGAGGATTTAAAATAGCAACTTTTTTACAAAAACTAACTTTTTCAACTTAATTTTTGAAAATGTTCCAGAAATACTGCGTCCTTTAAACATATATCAAATTAAAGCTTATTTTATGTACTATAAAATGAAAAAAAAAAATTTGTCNTATTAAAGCCTATTTTATGTACTATAAAATGAAAAAAAAATTTGTCCTGACATCTTCTATACGCAAATGGCTATCGTATTCAAAAATATGCTATTTTAACAATTTTTTTTTTTTTAAATTAAGCACTATCTATAGATTTGCATCGAATTGTTTTTTATTATAGTGATTTTAATCACTGTCAGATATCATCTATACTGGACCCAACTATGCCACAACCCCACTGTTCCGCCACCCCACTGTGCTGGGTTTTTTTATATATTACTGTATATATATTATTGTATATACAGGGTGTTCAGTAAGTCAGGAAACGGGTTTCTATTGTTCTCGTTGTTACAAATAATGAGAACAATAGAAACCCGTTTCCTGACTTACTGAACACCCTGTATATTATTGTATATTACATAGAATGTAACTATTATATAATATAATTATTACATATTAACTTTTCTGTGAGAATTCTGTATAGGTTTAATAGGTTGTATTGTGGATATTTTTAATTAACACGCTTATATTAGTTTCACATGTATGTTTTGTGTTTGTTGTTTGTAAATCTCCACCCGGCGTGGGCCGCCCTGAAGCAATAGCTATCGGTAGTTCAAGGGCGGTCCACATTATGCCGGTTGTGGAAAAAAACAAAAAAAATCTACACTGGCCACGTGTTATTACTCTCCCGTACCCCGTCGTCTATGTCATTGAAACTAGACTGTCGTAACGCATTCACCCCACCCCGCTCACCACTCCACGACAACAATATTTTCCTGTATAATTTTATTTTTGGTTTTCGTACCCGTACACGCGTTCATGACGTCAATTATATATATATAAACAAAATTTTATTTTGACTGACCAAAACCGCCCGCGTGTAATGTGCCTTAAGTATAAATATTTATATATCCCTACCGCCGATGCCGCTCTTTATACCTTAGGTATAATGTTCCCCCCACCCATAAAACAAGCCTATACCTAGTGCATGATACGTTTACGTACTTAAGTCGCTTTACATTTAATCTTCATTTTTCGTCACTACCTGCACATTCCGGGAGTGGGTAATTTACGCGCCTGCTGATTTCCTTGGACGTGGTAGCCGTTCCTCAAACTCTCTCACCCAGAATCGAACCCTGTTTTCCCGTTATCTGTTACAACCATGATATAGATAGTAACTACTATCATAACATGAAACTAAAAAGTAAAAAATAAATATAGTTTAAAAAAACTAAAAAAACACGCTTTTAAAGCACGCTTTTAAAGCACATCGAACTAAAAAGTTAAAAATAATTTGTAAAATAAGTTTAAAACAATAATGAACGAAAAATACTAGTGTATAAATAATATTTATATCATCAACTGCAGATCAAAAAATTATAATTCTAAGTTTATTACCGCAATCTTGGTCTAGAGAAAAAATATCTATAGAATTTAATACATCTGATTATTTAGTTCGTTTATCAAGAGACTTGCTCAACAAGTATGATATTCTACCAGATGTTCCAAAAAATCAGGAAGTGTATTAAATTGTGGAATAATTAAACTTAGTGAAAATTTTTATGAAGGTGAAGAGTATAGTCGTGTATGTCCTGGCAAGAAAGATTTTGTATCTATTAAGATCATATTGCTTTTGGAATAATCAATATTTTTTTAAAATGAAACATTATCAACAAATTTGCATCGAAGCGTTTTTTATGGTAGTGTTTTTAATCACTGTCAGATATCATTATACTTGACCTAACTATGCCACGTTCACACTGAGCCGGGTTGGATTTTTTTATTTGAAACTGATCTCGA